CCTTGGATTTTGGCCTTTCTCTCCCCATATGTGGGTTACTTCTCAGATTGCCTGACCCCCCCCCCCACCATGAGAGCAGTTGTAGCTGCAGCTGGGGGGGGGTAGCTTATCTCCAGTAATGGTCAGCTTGGCTGCAAGTTAGAATTCTCGACATGGATATCAAACCGCCTAAGCAACCAAAAAGCATCTTGCCACTCCAACAATTAGAACAAACCATGAAAAAGATTTATAAAGTACAACGGTGTTGAAATCACCTTGTAGTAATGGATATAACAAACAGAACTCTCTTTTGCAATTATCCCCGCAAATGGCTGTTAGAATGATTTTAGAAAAGTATTTGATTTGGAATTGTGAATAAATAGGCCATACAGATTTCCAGAGGCCCAAGAATCTTCTTTCAATAATACAGTAATCCTTGCCTCAAGTTTTGCCTGAATTGTTTTAACTTTCACTTTGTCAATTGATTTTACCAAGTTCCTAATTCTCAAATGCTAACTGACACTATTATTGCAAACTTTTATAACATATTTTGCTGCATTAAATGAATTCGAATGTGAATTGAAAATAGGTTTGCTTGAGATTTGCATCAACCATCTCTGTGTATTTTTATTGACAGATAGATAGAGGCTCACTCTGGGTTAGGCTTTGATAAGAAAGTTGGTAAAGGAAGGAAACTGCATTATGTAGTGCAGAGTAGAAGATGGCCACTCGATAAAAACTAATTCATTGAGGTTAATATAGGAAGGTGGGCACTCAGTTGGGAAAATGGTCCTCTGACAGTTGCAAAGTATAAATATTTGGAGAGCAAGATTTTTTCTATGTTGAACTTGTATTAATTTGGCCTTTTTTAGGAAACGCTACAAGATAGGTATGCTGAAGCTGAAACAGATCAGAAACGATGATTGACCTGTCTGGAATCATTTTATTTATGGCAACATTACCAAGGTTATGTTACCAAGGATGAGCCAGTGTCATTACCAAGTGTCATTATAATTAGACGAACGTAAGAATAGAAAACATATGTAGTGTAAAATGTGAGTTATCATTTTAAATGAGATACAAGATACAATTCCAAATGACAATATTTTTACCAAAATTAATATATATGTGCATGTGAAAAAGCATACAATTCTAAATGACATTATTGCTACAAAATTTAATATATATACTTGTGGACGAAAAACGAAGTTACTTATATAGGAATGTTACTTGATATTATTAAGATACAAACCACTCTGAAAATTTACAGCATACGCGAAGACTGGGTTTATATAAAACAAGGGTTTGTTAATGCATGTATGGTTGAGGTATAGTTATTCGAATGGGCTTTTTCTATATCCTTGTAAATTGAAAACGAGGCAACGAACTTGCCAATTATGGAAGGACAAGGGGCGTTTAAATGTGTTGTTTACAGGAGAATCTAATCATCGAGAATCAGCCAAATGAATCACTAAGGGAGATATCCGATCTTTGTGTAAACAATGAGGAGGATTATCATGTTCAAGTGTTATCTTATAGACGTGTTGATTGCTTGGGTGGACCGCCGGCCTGCGACACACCGAGCCAGTGGACTGCCGCCCTGCGGCACGCCGAGCCAGTAGACCGCCCCCCGCGACACACCAACCCAGTGACCCGCAAGTCCCCCCCCCCAACCTGAGCTGCAAATTAGCAAAGAACAAACTAACGCCATCCCCAACACACAAAACCCCCCTCGCACAAAACCCCAACAAACACGACCTGCCCCCCACTGTGGCGTGCCCCCAACAGAGGCGTGGCTGCCGCCCACAAGAGGCTCCCACCAAAAAGAGGCTGTGGCGTGCTCCCCCGCAGAGGCTGAGAGAACCACGCCCTCTGCCATCACAAAATTCTCCCTCAAAAAAATGTGCAAAAAACATTCGCGCTCCTACGCGATTTTTACTCGCACGACTGTCACTGGCGCTAGAGGGCGGGGAGCAGAAAACGGGGAGCAGAAAACGGGGAGGAGGAGGAGGAGGATTCTTATCGTGATGTTAGCTTGTGTTCAATGGCAAATTTGTTGCAGAGAGACAAATATTTACTTCTTCATCATCGTAATTATCAGAATGTTTCGTAATACAAAAACAACAACAATTAATGGGTACTATCGTTTAGCTAATTCTAAAGTTGCGAATTGTAAAAGTTATTATGCAGAGGTGAAGTAAAATTAAGTAAATGTTTTGGAAATATAAGGGGAAACTCTGTAATATATCCATGTATTTCATAAACATGCTCGTAAGAAAGTAATTTCAAGTAGGGTAACAATGCATGGCTAGTATCGTTTAGGTTATGGTAGAGTTGGGACTGCTGAAAGTTAATTAGTTGGGAAATAATAGCAATTTGGAAGCCATTAAGGTTTTTTGAGAGCTTGATGGTGTTCGTTTTGAAATTTAGTTAGGAAAACCTCGGCAAGTTTCGGTAGATAGAAAATGGTTCAAAATTTGTAAGGAAAGGGGGAGGGTAATTATGTGAAGGTTATGATCGAATTTAGTGATGGATCAATTGAATACTATGGTTATAGTTTTTTGTGAGTTCTCTTTGATTGTTGCATGTCTTCTTCTTGTTTTTGTCTCTTTTAAATGTCTTTGCTTGGTAATGCTGACGATGACGATGGATTCGGGTCTGAAAGAGAGGACAAAATTTTGCTGTAGATTTTATTATTACGTGCAACAGTATAGTGTAAGGAATTTAAGAGTGGGATTGAGTTTTTATAATAGAAAATTAACAATATACAAAATTAAAAGGATTGTTGAATTCATAAAGATATTGGTAATTGAACAAAGTCAATGATGAATATAGGGTTGGTAGTAAGTTGTTACCTTATTTTATGTAGATATTTTCCATCAGGTGCTGTAAGGTGGAATGTGGTGCTTCGTCTTATTTGAAGGCATCTGGCGATTCTTATTTTTGTTTTGGAAATGGATTCTGTTATCCATTGTAATTGCTACAACAGAAACAAATGTGAAAATTTATTGGTGATTACAGGAGTCTTTTGGAAGGGGGGAGTGAAATGGTTTGCAAAAGAAGATTAAGGGAGTGGAGGAAAGTAACGATAATTACCTTTGATTTGTTGCCAAGTTCGACGGTGAAGTATTTTGTCATTGTTGGGGAATAGCTGTGGAGAGACGTATATGGGAATAAGGAAATTTGGAAATTTTCTTCCACGAAATAAATCTTAAGAAGATAACAGTCGTGAAATTAACGTTTATAAAAAAGGAATGTGGAAGTTTGTATTGTACGTTTTGCCAGTATTTGCGAGATTGAAAGAGTTTTTAAACGTAATAAAAATTTAATGCTCACCTTTGTTTATTCACGGCCATAGGTTGTGTGGTTTATGAGAGCAAGAAGTGTTGGGTTGCTAAAGATTCGGGTTCGTTTTTATACACTTATGGGATAGGGTGGGTTTAATGGAGATGGGAAATATCAATTTTAATGTTGGCATTAACTGCAGAAGATATTCGATTGTTGGGAGGTCTTTATGTTCTTGGTATCCGTGGAGGGGATGTTTTTGTACTGATAATGATGTCGCAAGATATTCTTATTGATGACTAATATATTTTACTGCGAAAGGGTTAATTGATTGTGTTTGGTTACGGTTTCTGGTGGCAGATTAATGGGTTGTTCGTGGAGTTCGAGGACGCTGTTAATGATATGGGATTTGAAATGTTTAGCTGATTGTCTAAGTTTTGGGGTGGACGTGTTTTGAATAGTATTTTGGAGATTGGGGTAACTGTTTAAAAGTGAAAGGTGGTGTATTTTCGATAGGAATAGAAGAAAATAATTACGAGTAACTACGTGTTTGGAGGGTTAGATTTGTTAGTTTATTTGCTAAAGTTTCTTATATTGTGTGTCGTAATTTGCAATTGCAAATTCGAAGGCAGGATTTGAGAATGTATAAACGTAGAGAATAGCAATTGAATTTGTTATTGTGAAGAAAATGGGACAATGCGCAAAGAAAGAATAAAAATACTGTTCAAGAATTGAACAAAATTTTTGAGTAATTATAATAGTAAAAATTTGTATACGACGAAGCATTCCTGTTTTAATGTATTGTATTGAAATGGGGGAGTTAGGTTTTTGTTCTTTTTGTGTCTGTTGGGGGGGGGGGGGTACGGGTCTATTTGCTCTTGATATAAAGTGTTTGATTATTATGTTAATAAAGGGAAGAAGTAATGAATTGTGGGAAGAAGATAGGGTAGTTTTGTTTAATTTTTTACATGGTAAATTGTTTGTGTACATTTTAAAATATTTACAACAATTCGTGTATCTACAGGAAATTAGTACTGCAAAGATAAATTTCTGTATGTTTTAGTGTGTACGAAGGAGTGAGTAGGTCTAGAATTTATTGTAATACTTCGGGGTAAACGATGTTTTTTGTTTTGTTTCCTCGTGGTAGCATGACTCTGATCCCTGCAAAAGATTTGGCTCTTGACATCGCTACGTATAACTGGCCATGAGTAAAAACAGGCTGTGGAAGGTAGACACCAACGTATTGTAATGATTGTCCTTGTGCTTTGTTTATAGTTAGACAGTATGCCAATCTCACTGGAAACTGCACTCTGGCAATGTCAATGGGGAGGGCGGTATCTATGGAAGACATTTTGATTCTCGGAATCATTACATAGCGTCCCCTGTGTTCACTGGCAATGACTTCTGCCCAAATGAGGTGACGTTGTAGGTCGCGGACGATAAGTCAAGTTCCATTGCAGAGACCTTTTTTTGGGTTGATGTTTCTTAGTAAAATAATTGTTGCACCGACCTTGATGTGTGGGAGGTGGAAAAAAATTGATCAAAAACAATTTATGATATTTTTTATCAAAAAGAAAGAAATGTTATTACGTTGAGGTCTAATTGGTGGAATGGGGGTAGGGTAGGAGATTTTTGTATAAGGTATGGATATTAAAGGAAGGACGGGTTGAAATGAAGTTAACTTTGGTTCATTTAAGTTTCTGTAAGGGAGAATAATTATGCGTGGAGAAATTTTTTTATGAAAATGAAAGGAATGTTATTACCTTGAGCTCTAGTTGGTGGAGTGGCATACCGGTGGGTATCTGGATATTGAGGAACTCAATAGGATAAGCTGCAGCTTCTTCAAGATCATCAGTAATTACCCTATCGGTACTGAGGTATGTTTGAGTGGGTCCATGCAGCCTTTCCAAAATGAGTTGATTGATATCATGAGATGCCTCATTGGTCGGTGTCAAGCAGCAGCGTTCTGCAATTGCTTCTGGCTCGGCCATTATGTCTGGCTGTCCGGGTGGTGGTGGTGGATATAGTAAGTGAACAATCTCATCGAGTGACTGCACCAGCATATGGTCAGATAACGTGATTTGATTGTCTTGATCCTGCGGTTCTTGTCCATTTCCAATTCTTAAGAGCCAATCTGAAAACTCTCGGTATGTTTCGTCTTGGATGGCTCTCATGTTGGTGATGAGTTGAAACGTGCGGAAATGGTGCCACAGAGGTGAATTCTTCATACTTTCCTGTACAATTCGTTCTCTACCTGCTTTAAGAACAACTGGGAGAACTTGTCTAAAATCACCACCAAGAAACATGAATTTACCCCCGAATGGTCTGTCAATTCGGGTAATGTCCCTGAGTAGGATATTTACTACTTTCAAAGCATTGACTGGGATCATGGAGGCCTCGTCCCAGATAAAAACGGTGGTCTGTAAAAGCTGTTGAGCTTTAACACTTTGTCTTTTTATATTGCATGTAGAATCAGGCAATAAAGGGATGGGAATCTGGAATGTAGAATGTGCTGTGCTTCCATTGATGAGCAGTGTGCTTGCAATGCCTGAATAAGCAACACATTTAACAGTAATTCCTAATGCCTGGAGGTTATGAACAACTGTATTGTAGAGAAAAGTTTTACCTGTTCCTGCTGGACCGTCAACAAAGAAGCAGTTGTTTTCAGAACGTGTTTGAATAGCTTCCATGACAGTGTCATGAATGTGGCGTTGGTCATCATTGAGGAGTTGGAACATTTGTTGTCCTAATTCAGTTTCATGAACAATGTCGATGTTTTCCTCATCTTGGTTTCGATTCTGGAAGTTCTCAGGCAGTTGTGGTAACTCCAAGAACTCGGGATCTTCGATGGATTTGCCATGCACTTTCAATAAAGTGTTAATGTCCCAAAGGCACAGGTACATGTGTCTGTCCTGGAAAGCGATTGTTGGGTCATTATGAAGGTGGCGGTCGTGTCTGATGTAATTTTCAGACATTGATTGTTTGAATTCATCGAATAAGGCTCTGATGTCAGCTGGAGTGTGGAAAAAGATCAATGTTGCAAAGAGTTGTCTCATCTGATATGGCATATTGATTATTGCTGCCTCTTGTAGGCAATTCCTGTGCTCAGCATCGTCTTGCAATATCCCCAATGCTTTTGCTGCATCCTTGAATGTTTCTAGGAGTTCACCGTCGATTGTTCTCAAATCTTCAAAGGATGTTGGACCTCTACAGTGGAGTAGAAGTAGTCGCAATGCATATCTTTGTGGGTCGGATGGCTGGACCTGGTACATTCTTGCAATTATTGTGGAGACTGGACGTACCTGTAAATAGTAGAATAACGTTTGAAGGTTTCTTGGCTACGTTTTTTAATCTGGTTTATTGTCAAGGTGTTGATTAAAATAACAATAATTATCATTGTGATGGTTGGTGTAATAAAAGTCATACCTTTTGTTTCCATGTTTTTGTTCGTTTCTCGAATGTATAGTGTTCTGGAATTTCATGGTAAAGGTACTGTTGTGCTTCTTGGTCATGATTGTTCAACTGAAACCAAGCTGTGAGGGTGGTGTTTTGGTTTCTATGTAGAACTTGTTGTTCGCGTCCTTCTTGGAAGTAGACGTTCTGCTGGAGAGGGAGGTGTACTATAGTCGTAACACTGTGTGACTCTCGTCGTGGAACTTGTACTGTAGTATTCTGAACACTGCATGGTGTGGTCCAATGTATCGTGCGTTGAGATATTGAAGGATTTCATCATGATTGATGGTGTTCTCTCTGATCTCAACGTGTGCACAGTCGCTTCCTTTGTGGATGTATTTAAAAATGTATTTTACGCTTTTGACACTTGTGCATACTTCCACATTCATGTGGCAGTTGAATTTCATGAGCAGATGAGGGTTGTAGGGGACAACCCAGGAGTCATTAACCAGGTTGTGACGAAGCTGAGCTGGGTGTTGACCACGGCGTTTGTATTGTGGATAACCGTCAACGTTGAAGTCAGTGTGTTGCTTTAATGGTTTTGGAAAGTTTTTGCTGCATTTTCGATCTGCCATGCAGGGGCAGTGTGGATCAAGATCACCACATGGGCCGTGTATCATGTGTTTCTTGACCATGTTATGTAGGTCTTTGTTGGTACGAGGATCAGGGATTTCAGCTGAGACAAATCTGTCAACATCTTGTGCATCCCATGGTTTGTCAGCTTCTGAAAGAAAGATGATCATATGAGTATGGGGTAAACCGCGTTTTTGAAATTCAATTGTGTAAACATATGCTTTCACATGGCCTAGGAGATTTCTCTCTAGGATATCACGCAGAAGCTCCTGTAGTTTTAAGTGGAAGACATGAATTATAATGCCTGGTTGGTCACTGGGCTGTTGGTGTGGGAGGAGGTTCTGAATAACTTCTGGCCACCTTGGCTTTGCTGTCATTGTAAGGAAGATGTCTGGTTTACCATACTTTCTGACAATAGTCATGGCATCGTGGTAGTTCTGGTTCATGTTTCTTTCACTTCCTTGAAATGTGGAGGGTAGAATCACAATGCGGCCTACATTTGCATGCTCTTGTTCTCCGCGTGCGTGAATGTGGTCCATAAGACCTTGGTATGAATCAACTCTCAGTTGAGCCTGGTTTCTTCTTATGAATTCTAACTCATTGCCCTCGATTTTGGTGAATGCGTCGACCAGATATTGTTGAAACAGCAGCTTTGAACGGTGAATGGTGGAGAATGGATCACGAACTGCGAGCCTGAAAGCATAAAATTCATTTAATGATAGCCGCTGTCTTGGATTGGCAGCCCTTGCCCCTTGGCGCCTTTGTTCGCCAGGGGGAGGGTTGCGTGGAAGTTGGGTGTGCCAGCCTGGCTCACCGTTGAAGAATAGAAGAGGGTAAGTCATTGGATCTGCTGCTGGAGATGTTGCCTTTATTTTGACTGTGTTTTGCTGGTTGTTTGGGTAGGTTTCAATGTCTCTCTCTGCTGGATTTGGAGGGGCTCCTCCATCTCCAACGTAGACAGCTGCTATTTCGGAAACTATTGGCTCGTCATAACGTCGATCTTGCAGTGCACGACGTGCTATGATCATTCTTATTGGTAAAATTGGTTGGTTATTTGCCAGTGCAAGGGCTCGTTGTTCTTGAATGATTTGTCCGATATTTCTGTACTTCCTTGCGAAAGGATTAACTGCCATGAGTTCACGTTGTAGTAGTTGGAGAACTTCTGGGTTCAACTCGACATTCCTGGGGTCCGCTAGTCGTTGTTGCAAAGCTTGGTCAGTTTCTAGAATGTAGAGCTGGCTATACTGTGGTTGTTGACCTGGGAGTGGCTCAGGTCATCTTCCAGGATGATGGTCGATGGGGGCGTTCCAGGAAGCCATGGCAAAAGCACAATTGTAGTGGCGGATATTTTGAAGAAAGTGGCGTGATGCTGCCGATTCACCATTGAAGAGGTCAATTATGTTTTGTGCTGGAGGGGTAATGGGTGGCAGGTTGACTCTACCTCCAAAGCAGCATTTGGTGTACAATCCTTTGGTGTTTCTTTCTTCTTGAAAAATTTTCCGTGACAGTGGTTGCAGGATTGATTCATAGGAGCTAAATGATGTTGTCTTGGTAACTGAGCAGGATTGAGTGGCTGAACAGGATGAGGTAGTTGAGGAGGAGGTGGTGCCTGGGGAAGAGGTGCTTGCTGAAGAGGAGGTGGTGCTTGAGGAAGAGGTGGTGCTTCAGCCTGTGGTGGTGCGTGAGCAGGAGGTGATGGATGAGCAGGGATTTGATGTTGAACATGTTGAACTGGAAGTTGGTGTTCTTGGTGTTCAACTGGAGCCCTGGGCGCTTGTAATTGATGAGGTTGTTGTAAGGGTTGGGCTGCAACTGGTTCGGGAGGCACAGGGTCGTGTTGTCGGGCGACATCTCGATCTTGAGGTTGTTGTGGTTCAGGGAGTTGCAGAGGTTGCTGTTGTTGGCATTGCTGGCGTTCTTCACGTCATTGACGTTGGCGTCGTCTCTCTTCTGCAAGAGTTAGTAATCGGTGATGTCTGCGTGGCATTTGAATCGATTACTAAGTATTGGGAAGATAATAAAAACGTTTGTTATGATTGTGTATCGACAGGGGCAAGTGAAAATTTGGAACGCAGGGACAGGAAGTTTGATGATGCAAGGTGTTTTGTAATGTAAAGAGATGGGGGGCAATATGTGAAATTTTTGGGGTTTAAAAAATTAAAGAATTATTTAAGAAAAGTGTAGGGGGGTTTGCTTGAAAATAGAGTGGGAATTAGAGCGACAATGAAGTAGGCAGTAGTGCTATAAAATGAATGTAAATAAATGTGCGTCAAATGTGAATTTATTTTACAAAAAAGGATTTGAAAATTAATGCAAGCATATGGATAAAGTATAGAGAGTTTACTTCCAAATAGCGTGACTGTAGAAATAGTTGAGTACCTGGAATTTTTTTCATAAAAAAGGATTCGAAAAATAATAGAAGGATATGGAGAAAGTGTAAGGGGACTTACCTAAAAATAGAGTGTGGGTTGGACGGAGGATTCCATAGAGTCTGGCAGATAGCGTATCGTAAAAATCTGTGAAAAGAGATGAGGGAATAAGTCAATTATGAAAAAAGACAACATAAGATTCGATGTTTAAAGAAAGAGAAAAAAGGAGGGAAAGTGTAAGAACTTTTTAAAATAAGTAACGTAGAATTTTTTGCTTTTTGAAAATTATTACTACGATTTTGCTAAACTACAATTTGAAAATTAATATTGGTATTTATGTGAAATCTTTTTATAAAAAGTGGAAGGTGATGTTGTGTGTTTAAAGGTAGAGAAACAGGGACAGAAACTTTAAAAACTTTTTGAAATAAGTAACATAGAAATTTTTGCGATAGGATAATATAAAAAGTAATAGAGGCATTTATCTGACATCTTTGATGATAAAGTGTAAGGTGATCTTGTGTATTTAAAAATATAGGCATATGGACTGAATGCGCTAAAAGTTTCTAAAGGAAATAAGGGATATGAGTGCAAGGGGGTTAACAAATGTGAGAATCTCTTACTTCGTTAATAAAGGAGAGGATTTGGAGAATTTCGAGTTGCTAATAAAATTTACCAGTAGTTGCGAAATTGAAAGAGTTTTTAAACGTAATGAAAATATAATGCTCACCTTTCTTGATTTATGTCCAAAGGTTGTGTGGCTTTTGACACCGAGAGTTTCTGGGTTGTTAATGATTCGGGTTCGTTTTTATAGAGTTATGGGATAGGGTGGGTTTAATGGAGATGGGAAATATCAATTTTAATGATGATGTTAACTGCAGAAGATATTCGATTGTTCGCCAATTTTTATAGGTGTTTATGGTGTTGCGATCCGTAGAGGGGATGTTTTCATAGTCCTAATTGAGTCGGCAAAGGTTCCTTTTTATATGCAATATATCTTACTGAGAAATGTTTATTTATTCTGTTTGGTTATGCTTTATCATGCAAGTTTAATGGTTTCCTAAGAAAGTCGAGAGAACGGATTAATGATATGGGGTTAGAATCATTTTGGTGATTAGTTAGAATTGTTTGGGTGATTCTGCAAGGTAGATGGGGAGACATTTTTAATGATATTTCTATAGTTACAATTCTAGATGACCCGGGTGGTTGTACTTAAAGAAAGAGGAATTTGTCATTGAGATTGAACTTTGGTTTTGTAAATAAATGTTTGTAGCCATATGAAACAGAGGAAGGGGGAATGTTGTAGGTCCCGGGTATGAGCGGCAATTTCTTGATGGCACAACTTGGATGCCGGATTTTCTCAATTGTTGCTGGTGAAGCACCAGCCTTTCTCTCTCTAAAACAAAGTCAGTCTCCTCCTCCAACTGACTCCCCTCTGAACTCACTTCCTCAACCAAGACTAGATCTTCACTCCCGTGGGGCGTAGAGCCCCCGGGAGCAAGCTTCTCGGCCATACTTTAGCTAATGGCCGAGGCCAATAGCTGAAGCACTTTCCCTGCTAGGGTACCTGCGGCAGTGGGCGTGGGTCGTCGTACCTGCAGGTCCTAACAGAGAGATTGTCCCACAAGCAAAAAGGAAAACTTACCCTTCACTTGCTGATTTCCTCTTGTCTTTCGTCAACTCCTCTCGCAAAGTTCGCTGCACCACTTTTGGGGTTGACCTTAGCCAAAAGGGCGAGAAGCGATACCCAGTCTCATGTCTTCAGTTCAGACTCTCCACAAGTCGGCCTCGTTGCTTGCAGAGCGCTCAGTTTTTTTGCCTGTTGCCTGCCTGCCTGCTTCCTCACTCCAGCAGCAAAGTAATCAATCTGTGGATGTTGAAGAACGTCGTCGAGGTGAGTGAGTTAGTGAATGAGTTATTCAGCTTCACATGGCCACTCAGCAGCATGCAGCAGCAGTTGTGAGCTGCGACAGCAGGGAAAGGGGCTTTCTTCGAAAAAATATGGCTTAATTAAGTTCAACAGCGGGCGCTGTTGCTCCGTGTTGTTGTGCTTACTCTTACTATATATTCATGAACGAGCCTCCCCGTGACCCAAGAGGCAAAAAGACCACTGGACTATCATTGGGAAGAAAATTAAATTTAACTTTCAGCTACCCTTGAGTCACAGAAGATGAGAGGATGGAAGATGTTCTATGACTGCATTCTGTCACTGACTGATGATATGATTCTAAGAAAGCCGAAACCTTGCATATAGACACTTGTTCATTACTCGAGTGGCAAACCCAAAGAGTTTATATAATTGAAGGAAAGGTTCACCATATTTGGTCGAACAATAAGAGATCAGTGATGGTTTTTTGAAGTCCTTGAATCAAAATGCTTTTGTGATTGTTCTTTCTTACAAGTCACATTGGTATCCATCGAAGGCACTTTCACAATTGGCCTGTCATGTAATTATTGGGAATTGAACAATCCCTGAAAGCCCAGCTTATTGAAGCCTACTCACGAAAATCAATATTTTCAATTTTATGCTGCAAAAACATTCAAGATTTTTTCCGAAATTAAGTTACATA